AACTCGAATTTACTATTCGTCGACAGAAATGTATGAAAAGTAAAACCAACGACCGATTCTATGTTACTAAACATCAATCAAATTTTAATTTTATATATGACTTGTTATTGTTTTAAATAACCTACTTATTGTATTCTTGTGCAAATTAACTTAAATAATTTATAACATTGTATCAAATTTTATGTACTGCAGTTCAATGGTGTACGATTGTTGAAGTGTGTTTGCCTGATGATGGGCACTTGTGGCCGAAACATGTAGCAGAACTATACTGAGCATTGTCCTTGAAGTTCTATATTTGCTGTGTTGTGACGATGAAATAAAGAGATTGTATATATTGTAACACGGCAGGATGCATAAAATTAAAATTAAGAATTCAATTACTTCTAAAGGAAGCAAGAGAACTCCACCATCAGCTCTTCGGTATGGGCATGTGATTTACGAGTAATTTTGGAACCTGCTTTACTAATAATAAGAAAGGAAATTCGTAATTATGCCTTGGGTTTTTTTTTCAAAGATGCAAAAAGATTGAAATCAAAACAAGTAGTTTGCATTTGTATTTGTAATGAGGTTCATTTTGTTTATATTACAACATATGGCCGCCTGAATGGAATTTAAGATAAGGAGGAACAGGTCTTTAAGCTTCGATGCATTCTGGCGATGATTGTTATCGCGTCAAGGCATGGCATTCATGTGTATATGCAGCCTCAGACATTTGTAATTTACGGATTCATCCCCTAATTATGTCTGAAAAGTAACTGGTCAAAAAGTGGGTTGGAAGACATAAGGAGTGGAAGATATCACACGAAGTAGGACTACGTGAACTATGCATATCACCTTGTAGTGTCAAGTTATTTGAATCAGGGAATCAACCAGAGATATCAGAGATTAATACATATAGAATTCTGATTAGAACCTTTATAGAAAGCAACAATTTGAATGACTGAGAAATAAATATAAGAAAAATATTAAATGAAATGAGAATGGAAGATTAACGGACGTGATTCAGATCAGAGCCCAATGATGAATTATCGTATTAGATGCACCGAAATTTCGGATTCCAAACATAGAGACTTAGTTTTACTCTATAAATTCTTCTTTGTACCCGTTCGTAAGTTAAAACATGACTGTTATTAACTGTAAATACTGTGACATATAGACTTATTGCTAAGCAACTTCTCGGTAAATATATTTCCGCGGAAGCGTACGCGTGCTGCAATACGACGTCCATTGTTTGACAACGGATCACTAATCAAGTCTTGTCAACAAAAGAGAAGCTGTGTTCTCTGCGTGATCCCTGCCGATGGATTATAAAGGGACAAAGAAGTTCATTCGAGAAATCGTAATCTAGTCGAGTAGAGGTTCAAGATGTCGGCCTGCAGAGATATTAGCTTGCGAGTTGTCGAGAATTTGGTCGAGTTCTGGAGGTGGCAGTCGAAGGTGACTGAGAACAAATGGCAAGAAATGAATTAGACCATATAATAAAGGCTTCGTGAGTGATTTTAAGTTACAGTGACACGGTTATAAATCCGTTGCAAGGATAAGACTAGTGAAGACTGAGAACTCTAATTGCATTTGTGACGGTGAACTTTAAAGTATGTAGATCAGCTATAGCGATGTAATAGCTGTAGTTCCTAGTCATGTATATATAAGGTGCAATAAATCCAATCATCCAGTCCAAAACTCGTCTAAAAGTCACACACGAACAGCCCCAAATCGTGAATATTTTCTAAAATTTACTTACTGTGGAGTTCAGTAAGGAAAGAAAAAATTAAAACTAATTTGTTAAGTGGGCCACTTTTAAATTTATGGTCATATACATTTGAGTTACTCCATCACAATATCTTCAGTTATTCACTTGTAATGTGGACAAAGGGAAGTAGTCTGATGTCCTTGAGACTTACTGCCAATTCACTTGTAGTTTTCACAAATACAAGGTCTGATTGCCACGCTCACACGTGACAGTACACGTGCACTCATTTCGACACGACTATAATTTATATTACTATTATCATACATCAACGCGTGACAACAAATTAGTTATGTTAAGTGATCATGTGCACATAGTAGAATCATTGACTCTTCACAGATTTGTTACAAGGGCCGGATTTTCAGTTATGGCTCCCCAGCGCAGTCAAAATAAGAAGGTACCTATCAGTAACAACTAGTTTAGGTTATGTCAGATCTTATATTATTGTTCATAATACTTACAATAACTAAAAGTCAAAATAATTTTTCGTGACTTTAGAGAATCAAATGACTCAACAAAAATCCTTGGAATCTATTTCTGTTTTATGGGGGTCCCTGAACTGCCGCCCCGTTACTCTCCCTTCAAACTAGTCATATTTTTTTATATTAAATTAAATATAAACACATGTATAGATCTCCACACTTCTGATAATTGCGTTTGTAAAATCTTGACTAATTATTCGGAAGAAGATGTGTCACTTTAATATACACGTACATATTTGAGCAATCTCCTGACAAATGTGGAGCACATGAAGGTAACAATTTTTCTGGTTTAAATCCTACGCGACTTGTAGTGATATAATCTTCTCTCGTTAGAGAGATCTTTCTTGTGGCTTGGCTGGAAAGAAAATAAGCACAAATCTTTGCCAGAGACTTTGAGGAGAACTCTGCTCTCGAGCTGCACATCCTCTACACTGATTTGCGGACCTGCGGAATGCTAACAAACACATTAGGTTTGAGGTACTAGTTTCTCTTGCAGCAGAAAATTATTTATAGTCGTGTTACGGTTCACCGAGAAAATTAAATAAATTATTCAGTTTATCACCTCCCTTCATCTTACGCCCGTAGTCACATTCGAGTCCGTTTCAACTTCTACTTCTATTCTCATAAAACATTGAAGTGTTTATTTTATTTGTAAGGGCACGCGGTAGAATAGTTGATTGAGGCAGTATGCTACAAGCCGGAAGATGACGGGTTCAAATCCCTATGTCACTGATATTTTCAATTGATCTATCCCTTCCAGCCGCACTATGGACCTAGTCTAGACTTAGACCATAACAGAAAAAAGTACCAGGAACCCTTCCCGTGGGGTAAAGGGCGACCGGGGTGTAAGGCTGACAAACTCACCGCCATATGTGAGCCGAGTGTCTAGAAAATGTGGGAGCCTCGACGACTCACATACTTATGGGCGTTCACGACCTGTTACAGGGATAATTTTACCTTCTTTATTTTTTCTTACTGGTTTACTTATAAGGAGCAGAAAAGTTATGAGAGCATTCAAGTTCATATCAGCTGCTAAGGTAAGTAAATTATATCCAACTTGAAACTCCTTCTTAATCAGGTATGCATCAATCTGAAATTTAATCCCCAAAACTGCGTTGATTTCCTTCAATTTACATAAGAGAACGCACTCAAACACACCACATTTCACGGTCTCACATGAGAAAGGTTAATGCATCACTGACGACAATTATAAAAAATCCAAAATCGCTGACTGCAGTCGTGAGCAATAAGAAACAGGTTTCCGTTTGAGTCTCAGGGAAGAAGGGACAAAATTCTATAGAAATTTATTTATTAATTTAATATAGGTTGTGGCTTTAAATATTTTAGCGTCATATTGTGTGTGTGAAATCTGTTTCTTTTAGTCTCTCACCACAATTGGAAACATGGGCACACCGCGCATTCATCGCTTCATACAACACGTTTCAGCTCATTAAAGCAACATCAGGTATCCGACTGTTTACATTCGCCTGTATGCTTCTGCTGCTAGCTATCCGACTAGCAGACGAATGCAGCTGAACGTAAACAATAAACCTGATGATGGTTCAATGAGCCCTAACGTGTTGTACGAAGCGACGAATGGTGCCCATATTTTCTGCTGTGGTGACGGAATAAAAAAAAAATGTTATGTCTTTATTTAAACGGATTTTATTCGCGTAGGACAAATATTATTTACTTTATGAAACGTGCATGCATGCAGCATCGCGACACAGGTAACTTACATGCAGTTTGCCTCAAGTAAATTGTCTCTAAGATATAAACACGTGATGAATTGTGTGCGATAATTTCCTTGAAACAGACAGCGATATATACATGAGGATGTTGCACAAATATATCGCTAGTAGAAGAGCCCAAAAATTTAACACCGCTAACATCTGAGCTACAATCCATTTCGGATTCCCACAATTTCTCTTCTCAGCATCAATCTTAATATTATCTTCCCCTTTCCTTCCAGTTCTTCCCAGTCGTCGTTTTCAAAGAACGTTTCCTGCTGAAATGTTTTGTCTTACGCATTCGTTGCCTCCCCATCAGACTATAGATCTAACCAGCAGTAACTTCCTGGAATTCATTGTTCTCATATGAACACGTGATCTCTACATTTCATGGTCCGTTGTTAACTTATTCTAAACTTCTTGCTGTGTCTTCGTAGGCCTAAATATTTTCCGGAATACTGTATGAACATATTTAAATTTTGTTAAAGAAATCTATCAAATTGCAATTTTTATGAGAAGAGCTTACTAAATATCCACTGCAAGATGGAGATATGTAACATAATATCATTCAATTCATAAGCTGTTCGTATAAAAACCTTCGAAATTTATTACAATTTCATCATAAATGTGTTTATTAAAAATATTGTTTTTTCCTATATTTGCTAATGAATTGTAAAAAAAACAGGCCTACAACTAGTCACATGTTCATACCTTTTAAAATTAATGTTTATACTGCATATATATTCCAAAACTTTGACGACTTAAATTAACTTCATATGTACCTTAATTTTTCTCAACAAACCTAAAATAATTTAAATCTATTATCTCCGATTTTCACATTATTTTAAAATTTGCCCTTAAATCAGGCTTATAATGAAAACTTCACTACCACTGATGTTGAATTACAATACAGCAAATATATTGAAAACTTATGACCATATATTAAATTCTGCGAGGAACCGAGCAGAGCTCACGTGAAATTGAGACTCAGCAAACGCTCTACATGCTTATTTTCTGCAGTTCAAGAAAGACAGTACTTACCCATGTGTCCAGGCAGATTCCCAGCACCTTACTCAGCAGTTGCACACAGACCCTCCGCTCGCCGGAAAGCTCCCGGGGCGGCCATGCTGTTTTCACTTACGGCTGTGTCGCTGCAATACGGCGGGATCCTGGCCCCGCGTGTCGTGTCCTGCTTTCACCAACTCACCCCCTAAAAAGCACCCGCTAGAGAAAGGGGCAAAGGAAAGTTATGGTTTTAGAAACAACAAAAAATTTGAGGGTTAAATAACAAAGTAGGAGAACTGGAAAGGAAATTCATTTTCACGAAGTCAATACAACAGCAAACCATACCGTACTCATCCGCCATTTCCTATTCTGATAGGTTCATAATAAATACAATATCATATTACTGAATTTAAAAGCAGTTGGTAGTTTGTCCAAACTTGTAAATACATTCTTCACAGGACTGTGGCTGTTCATTGAAACCTATGAAAAAATCTAACCAGACAATTATTCTAGATACTAGACAAGATACTAGGATAATAACTCTACAAAAAGGAATAATAAATAGAAATTATTAACATATTTTTTTCCTTGGCGCTACAGCCCCAGTGGGCGTAGGCGTACCTCCATGAACTTCTCCGTTCACTTCTGTTTTTCTAGATCTTACACATTCGGTAGGACCCCTTGGGCGGGTGATCAGCTCGTGGCAAGGCCTCTACTTGTACACAAACACAGAAAAACTCACACACACAAACTAAACATCCATGCCCTGAGTGTGATTCGAACCCACGATCCCGGTTTCCAAGCGAGCGAAGACAGTATATGCCTTAGACCGCTCGGCTACCGTGACCGGCTTTTAACATTTTACTGAAGTAATTTCCACCGAAACACCCTTCACATTTTCGTTTCACTTTACATTTGGCTAAAATCCACTTCCGCACAAAAATTTACACGGGTGAGACACGTATTAAACCAACACGAAAGAAAAAAACTGAAGGTTTTCGAAAGGAGGTCAGATCTCCGAGTCGAACACTCGACTTTAGAATAGGTAAGGTCTACAGAGAAAAGCTTCGTGAGTTTTAATCCTGGTAATATTTTAAAAATATCGGGGAGGGTAAAATCAGAGAGTAATACAGCATGAAAGGAGAAACAGTAACTGTTCCTACACAGCCTTGTTATTTTAAAACTACTTGGGAGAGACTGGAGGATTGTTAGAAAGGACTATAGTGAATATAATCTTTAGGAAAACTGGAAAACCGAATAGTGAGGCTCTTTATTAGGGTGATGTCCAATCTTTTCCTGACGATGGAAGTATAAATTTGGGTACATGTGAACTGCTCGGAGTGTGCTGTGAACTGATGAGCGGATTAATGGTGCTTAATAATAATAAATGCAATAGATCGTATTGTTCGGAGTGTGTCTAGTTTGGCTTTTCAGTAATACGCTTCAGTTCATGTGCAGGAAAGCTAAGGTAGTACCCTAAGGAAGATGACTTCCCTTTCCTTTTTAATCTTCGTGATTCGCTCTGTATAATCACTCTGGCGTTTCTTTATTTGGTACGGTGCAACTTCTACAGTCTGTAAAACTTCACCAATAAACGCGACTCAGAATTTTCCCTCTCTATTCAGCTAAGCACTAGAGAACTAGAGTTCGAAAGTGAATAACTAATCTGGTGGCTTTGCTCAGATTCCTAGGGCGACTATTGTGATAAGACTGCAAAATGGACGAAGGTGGTATCTTCCAGTTTTTCTTATTGTAAAATTCCTACCGATTTTGCTTAAATCTCCACATATTCTTCCTTGTTGTGAGTTTCTTAAGACCGGGAAGAGTATTAGCCTTATATTTGCGCTGATAGGACTATTAATACTTAAATTTTTTCGATGTACCTGTATTTTAGAAGATGATTCGCTTGAAATAAATTATCAGATTACATTCCTTATTTTTCATCATATCAGATGCGTCTAATTACACAGGTAAAGCAAACTGTCATCTTATAACATTTAAATTCTGATCAGATAAATAAATGTTTGGACTATCTGGTTTCCAGGAACTTGATTTTAAATCTCTAGATATTTATGAGCCGGTCACGGTAGCCGAGCGGTCTAAGGTATGTCTTCGCTCGCTTCGGAAGCCGGTATCGTGGGTTAGAATCCCCCACAAGGCTTGGATATTTGGTACGTGTATGCGTTCGCCGCGCCATAGCTCAAGCGATTAGTCGCTGGCTTCCCACCGCGGCGGCCCTGGTTCGATCCAAGTTCAGGTCAAGTGGGATTTGTGGTGGAGAAAGTGGCGCTGGGGCGGCTTTTCTCCAAGTACTTCGGTTTCCCCTGCCAATCTTCATTTCATCAAATTAGCCATCATCATATTCACCCGGGGCAGGTACAATAGGCCAATCAGTGGCCGCCGTGCCGAGTGGACCCAGTTAGACTCCACCCCCCAATAAGCGAATTAAAAAAAATGTGTATACGTTTATTCTGTTTGTATTGTCTTGTGTTTAGGTAGAGGCCTTACGATTATCTAATCACCCGTCCAGGGAGTCCTACCGTATGTAATAACGCTCATAAAACTGAGAAATCAGCCCTATGCTCCAAAGTGGAACAAGAGGAGAGAGAGAGAGAGATTTATGACTATTTTGTATCTTACAAGTGTTCCATAGATTATTAGCTGACCTGAGATAAATTGAATTAAGCACATGTGACAAATATTATTTCGAAATTCTTTCTGAGGCTTTGTATTGTGGAACAAAGATTATGAAATGACGCCGACATCAACAGGATTATCTTTCCTGATCACGTGAGAAGTTTCAGCTTCATCAATTAATTCACTATTTCATTCTATCTCTCTCTTTCATTTATTAATTCCTTCTTCCTTGTAACACGTCCATCTCCCTCCGGCGAAGTTGCGAACTAAGAGCGCAATTATAGCTCCAGCAATTCTAGATATCAGCACTATTGAAGGAAGTGGAAAATCCCGTCCGATCTCCCCTGGACTGGAGCGCGGACGGTATAATACTAAGGAGAATAATCCATGCTCCTCATGGGAGAGAACTTTGTTCTTCCAGTCTGTAGAAAGTTAATTAACTGACAGCAGCATAATGACTCGATTACGTAATATTGTGACGTATAGACCGATTGACAGGCAACGACTCGGTAAATATATTCCCGCGGAAGCGTATACGCGCAACAATAGAAAGTCAATTCCTAGCCAACGGATCATAAAACAAGCCTTCTCAACAATGCAAAGGCTGTGATTTCTGCGTGGTCGATGTCGGGGAGTTATAAAAGGGCGAAATATGCGTTTGAGTGAGTTGCCGTAAACTGAGTCAAGTCTTCTGAGATGGCAGTTGGCAGAATAACTGAGAAGAAATGGCAAGAAGGGAATTATGCTGTGACAAAAAGATTTCATTTGTGATTAGAAGTAACAGTAAGGCAATAAATTCGTTGCCAGGATACGACTACTGAAGACAGAAAATCTTAGTTCGTGTTTAACGCTGAAGTGCCTAGTGTGTAGATCAGCGATAGCTCTGTATTACCTGTAGTCCCGAGGTGTGTGAAGAAAGCTGTCAATGAGTCTAATCATCCAATCCAGAAACCGCCTCGGTAGTCGCGCGCAAACCCTTGCATGTGACAATATAATTTGCTGGACTCGAGATTAGTTAAAATTGCCAAAAAACTTCGCTTATCAAGAAATCACTATCACATGATCCTGGACACATCACCGATGAAAGTCGGTGGTTCTTAAATCGAAACATAATTCTTTCACATGAGAAGTAACATAATTGATAATATGAACTAAACTAAACTCCTTGGCCTGTAGCCCGCAAGCGAACTATACCGACCAAGCGACCGCCGCTTGTCGGCGAAGTTAGTGTCAACTTTAGCGGATAGAGGTTGTCGCGTGGACAGCGCAACGGATCCCTACGGCCGTTAATTTCGGTTTTCTAGATCAGAGCCTCTATTTCCTTGAAAAAGCTCCTCAGTTATCCACCCAAGACTGAATGGAACCCCTTCCAGACTCACTAATTGTTAGAAAATCTGGTAACACCGGGAATCGAACCCGGGATCTCTGGATCATTAGCCATGAACTCTGACCACTAGACCACAGAGACTGTCAATTGATAGTATGATGCACTTCAATTTCCGGATTTGCTGTCTATTTTAGAACAAGAATTAAATTATAATTTAAACAAATCTACTTTATATTATTATATTCATTACTCGTTGTCAAGATCCTGACATGATTCTCTCAGACAAGGACATCTTTAGGGTGTGTACCGTATTAAAGTGAAACCTTGAAATTCATATTTAAGTGAAATACGAATATATCATCCAACAAGAATCACACGGAAACAGCACAGCTCCAACATTTAGCACATTGTACATAAAAAACAACTAAATATTACAGTTTCACTAATATCAGATTTCCTCGTGCGGTGTCTCAATGGTGACCACAGTAACTCAACCCAATTATGCACAACAGGATGCAGAAAGCACAGACAAGGAAGGATGCGTGGCTTAGTCTCCAATAATCTTACTTTGTATGATGTGGATGTGGGACGAGCGGAAGGTATAAGAAATTCAAGAAGAATTCTGAAGGAGAAACACGACTAGGAAACGGGAATAGAGACGAAAATGTGGTGTTATATGCCTAATTGGTTTGTACGACAGCGAGACGATGATAGGGCAGGAAAGCAGATACGTTTATTTTGTAAACAAGATTCTGTATCAGGGAATTTCCTGGGTAGTGTAAGTAATTTAGAAGCAGTATCGTAGTCAGAGAAGAGACGCAATAGCGCAGTCGGTATAGCAACTGGCTACGAGCTGGACGACCTAGGGTTCGGGGTTCGAGTCGCGGTAGGGTCAAGAATTTTCACTTATCCCTGTCGTCCAGACCGGCTCTGGGATCCACATAGACTCATATCCAATTGATACCGGGGGCTTTTTCCCCGGGGATAAAGTGGTCGGGGCGTGAAGCAGGCCACTCACCTCCAACTAGTACAGAGATCAAGAAAACTCCCTTATGCGTCTCCACTGCGTAGTGATTAATTTCTTAAGCTCAGGGACAACTTTGTCGTAGTCAGTGATGTATATTGTGTGCTGACTTCATCGGTTAATGCGAGCAGGAATCT